CGTTTTCTAGCTGTAACTGCATAAGTCATCTCTATCAGAAGAGGCAGGAGTGGGAAACCTGTTTTTGACTCGTTTTTAAGCCATGCGTTCTAATCCATATTTACCAGCATAGGGAAACAGTTCATCCCCACCTTACTCTCAGGTCTATGGCTCATTTGAGGGGGAAAAAAGTATAATTATCACCAAACATTTTACACCTTTCTATGGCCATGTCCAAGATGACACCCAATTCTCCATGTCCTAACTACAACTCCACACTTTTTTTCCCCAATGCATGAATGGCATTATTAAGTCTATAATTCACTTTAATGGGTCTTCGTTCAACAAATATGTATTAAGCAATGGGCTAGATGCTAAGGATTGAGGCAGGAATAACATCAAGGAGAAGGTGCTGCTCTCATGGAGCTTACATTCTGGAGGACAGAGACAGGTTACAAACAAGTAAACCAAGATATGGATGAGATCCTGAAAAGTTCTTTAGAAAAAATAGTCCACAGGCTGGAGAGAGAATAACCAGATGACATTTATGTTGACAAGGTGGCCAGGGAAGTCTTCGCTGAGAAGAAGGCATTTGACCTGAGACCTGTAGGACAAGAAGCTGGGCAGGTAAAAGTTGGGCAGAGAACATTCCAAGCAGAGAAAACTGCATGAGGCCTGAGTTTCAGCTGAAGCTTGGCATGTCTGGAGAAAGAAAAGGTTTGCATATTTTTACTTAATTGTGTTCAAAGAAAAATACATGCGATAATCTTGGTTTGATGTACAAGTGGTATGAATGCACAGATTACTTCTAAAATATTTTTTCTTTATGTGTATATACATTAATAATTTTACCTATCACACTTTGGGAAAACTAACCACTTTTAGGCCCATACTAGAGAACTTATGGATAATTCTAGAGACTTGAATATCTACCAGCCTCAGTAACTGTCTTTCTAGAACAGCACTGGATAACTCCTGCCTTAGTCTTCCTTTTAGCTGAGACTCTACAAATATTCTCTTCATGTTGATCCATTGACATACCTTAGACTTTTAAACAATCCATTCAAGTAGCAACCATCATGCAATGTCATCCAAAAAGATGTCTGATTTCTATAAAGTTTTGGCCCTTCTTCCTGTCCTTGGTGAGATTCCTTCACCTCTAAGGACCTCTGCAATATTATAAATATTCAGCATTTATTATATATAATTTTTTCCTCTACCTGTTTTCAAGTTCCACTCTGGGAGCAAGCCGTACCCAGCACTTCCTCTTCTCCCTCCCTGTGTCCCCTGCCACTGAGTGAGGCCACACTTAGTCCAGCTGGCAGATCTTTCTACCCTCCCTTCCCTCTAAATATCCTTGGCCTCAAATGCTAATTGAAGAGCTCAGAAAGAGGACATTAAGAAGGGGGCTTTCTGGTGGGCAACAATGAATCACCGGCAGAATCACTGTTCAGACAGGCGGAGACGGGTCTTTCTCGCCATCTGATGAGTCACCACTGTGGTGTGGGGGAGTGGACGGTCAGCCAGACAGATAATGTGTCAGTCCCTCTCCTCGGCCTGACCCTGGACATCAAAATAGGCTGCAGTTCCCTCCTTGTGGGCCCGTTGCTGGCATTTGACCTAACGCTATAGAAATTTAAACCAACAAGGACAGTAGTAAAGTTCAGCTTTCTAGGCCATTGAGCTTAAGTTTAAACATTGTAACAGAGATACTTAAGAGAGGCTTGTCACCCTGGTCAGCGACTACCTAAGTAATGTCTTGCTGAGTCAGGCCATCCTCTCCACTAATATAAATGCTCTGGGCTTCATCTAAATGTTCTCATCATTGAGGTCTCGTTTCGTTTGACAGTGAACAATGCAGAGCAGATGAAAACCACTTTCTACAAGGCAAACAATAACAACAGCTTCTGTGAATTAAACATCTACTGTGCCAGGCACTTGGCAAACATCATCTCATTTAATTCTCACACCTTCTCAAGTAGGTATGGCTCACTCTATGATAGAGACCATGAAACTGAGGCTCAGAAAGTTTCAGCCATTTCCCCCAAGTGCTCACGTGTAGGAAAGGGTAAAACTGACTATAGAATAAGGTGATTATAGAACTTATCATCCAAAACAGGGCACTTTTGAAAGTAAAAGGGAGAACTAGTAATAATTTCACAGCCACAGATGCAAAGGGGAAATGTCCCAGCAAGCCAGAATATAAAAATGCCTGAGTTTTGAACCAGTGTTTGTGGCTCTATGCAGCCCATTCACCCAGTTGGTTGTCAGGAAGGTAATAGGAGAAATTTGTAATCAGCTCCCCTCATTCTCTTTTGACATTTTTGCTTGCTGTTTCCTTTCCCTCTCTTTTCATTATGAGAGAGTAGGATGAAGCCCAAACCTCTGTGCTTTTAAGCAGCCCTGTGGATGATTCTCCTGTGCTGCCAGGCATGGGCACTCCTGAGGATATGCTCTTTGAGGACAGGCAGTTGTTCTTGTTCATCATTGTATCTTAATAAGTAACATACAGACATGCAGGAAGTGCTTAATAAATGTTCATTCAATGAATAAGTTATTGAATGAATGCAATGATCTGCAGAAGCAAGCAAGGATGAGTATCACTGTGTATCTGAGTAATAAAAATGAGTTTGGGACATCCATATAAAGAGAAATGAGAAAGAGGAAACAGTGGACGCATCTGCCAGGTTGAGCTTCAATTTCATCTTTAAGGCAGAGTCACCCATCTCTGAGTAGGAAAGTGACACAGTCTGATTTGCATTTTGGAAAGAACATGTCTGTGGTTGTGTTCCGGTTAAGCCTGTGAGAAACTAGACACTGGAGGTATTTAAAACATGTTTTCAAAAGGGCTACTGAGTGCCTAGCATAATATAACCTTTTACATATTTGAACAATCTCCAACCTGGGGCTAGTACCACCCCTGCTTGGAGTCAGAATCTGGGCACACTCTCTGGACCATAATTGGTTACCTCATTGGGACACCTAAGAGCCACTCTGTCGGGGGAATATTTTCTGTCTGTTTGTTTTCTGGCTTCTTCCTTGATATTAGCAGTTCTACCATGGGGTGGCTGGGTGGGTGGAAGGGACCCACCACATTCAGGAAAGTGAGGGGCAGTTTCTGTGATTATAGCAGACCCATTCACTGGACTTTTTCCTGACATCTCTCCCTGACCTTTATGCCTCCGAGGGCCTGGACACAGTGCAGCAGCTCTCCAGCTGGGACAGGGCACACGAGGGGTTATCATACATGAGTGTTCCAGCAAGTGGGGCTGTGGCTATTATTGCCCCTGCAGAGCAACCCAGGGGACCTTGCTGTGCACAACCCTATGTCCTGGGGTTTCCCGCAAAGCTTTGCCCTGTCTGGTGAGAAGGCTGCCAGACAGTGTGAGATGAAAGACACCGTTCACACTTAACGGTGACTGGAATGTGCGCCATGTAAATCAGATGATGTGGAGACCAATTCATAACCACTTCACAGTTCAATGATGAATGGTGGTTCCCTTGTACTGACTCTTTAACCAGCTCCCTTCCAGGGACAGGCGGCTTCCGAGATCGTCTTAAAGCAGTGTGGGATGTCCAGGCCCTGCCCAGGTCCTATCTTTTCTTCCAGCACCATCCACCTCCCTGAAATCTTCTCACAGCACCTGGTCCTCACCTCGTTCCTCTTGTTGAATTCTGTTTCCTCCTTGATCTCCACCTTGCTACATTCATTCCACAGGCATCTCTGTTCTATTAGGCAGTCCTTTCCCTAAGTGTTTCCCATGGATATTATAACCTAACCTTCAAGCTTTGTCAGCACTTACCAGCAGAATTCTGCTTGTATCTTGGGCCAGAATGAGTCACAGCGCACCCCTAACTGCAGAGAAGGTTGGGAACTCCGATACTTGACTTCCCAGCTTCCATACAAGAGGTAGCAATGGAGAGGAGTGTTGGGAGAAGCTTTTAGTAGGGAATCAACAGTGTTGACTCCAGGGCTACCATTGTCATTCTGTTTTACAGATTATAAAACCAAGTCACATGGAAGATAAATAACATGCTCAACATCACCCAGCCAGAGTGGTGGAGACATGACTAACCTCGCAGGGGACAACTCCTGAGTCTGTGCTAGGAACAGCCAGTCTTCCTGTGAAGGTCCTCACAGAAAGAGGAAGAAGTAGATGAATTCATGATAAAGTAAGAGGTAGAACCATGGCCAGTTGTCTTTGGCAGAAAGTGGGATCAAGGACAACTCCAGGATTCTGCCTGAGATGGGACACACTACAGCATTACTTGGCAATGTAAATAATAATATCAAATTGCTGAATGATTTCCATATGCTACTCTCTTTATACACCAGTTCTAATTCTGATAAGCTTGTATCGTTATCTTCTTTTTGAAAAGCGTGAAAACAGAGGCTCATAGAGATCATATTATTTTCCCCAAGTCACAATGATGGTAAACACAGATGACAGCTGGACATCAACTGGGTCTGGGTGGCCTCCAACTCCAGTGACTCAACGCTGCTCCACACGGCCTTCTTACAAGGAAAAATGAGAACAGAGGCCGCAGGCCGGCTTCTGTGAATCGCGTGTTGTTGGAATTCCTGTCCTTCCTTGACCCAGATTTGTAAACAGAGGCTGTGGAAGCCAAGGTACACATGGGCAGATGCAAACGAGCCGTCTGATGAGGAGAAAGTCGAATGTGCTCAGGGTGGGTGCGCATCTGCCTGAAGCACGTGTCCCTGAGGCCTCCTGCTGTCTCCCCAGCCGGCTAACTTGGGCCCGGTGGTCTGCAGATGGCCGCGAAGTGTCTCCGGGCTGTTCAGCTGCAGCCTGGGCGGGCTGGCGGGGATTTTTTTGTTGTTGTTGGGGAGTGATGCTGAGGCCTCTGGGTGGCCGCTGACAGAGCTTCCTTCTGCTACTTTTAGGCTTGTTGCTGAGTGCTTTTAAAGGGAAGGGGGGGAAATAAGCAGTGATATTTGCTGTGACCCGGAACTGAAATGCCTCACTTTAAAAACAACTGTCATTTCCTCACTCATCCAGCAGGTTGAGCCCCTTCAGAACAACAGGCCCTGTCCTCAGTGCTGTGGACGCAGCAGGGATGCACACAGAGTACCTGTCCTCAGGGAACTTTCATTTTATTGGATGGAGACAGACAACCCATAAAGATTTGTATAAATGTCTAATATGTGCTACAGAAAGAGAAGCAGCAAAGTAAAGGGGTGAAGATTGAAAAGGTCAGGGAATACTGCTCTGATGAAGCGACATTTGAGCAGAGACCCAAACAAAGCAAAGCAGTGGGCCCAGCAAATATCCGAGGCCAGGATGGTTTCTGGCAAAGGGAACAGAGAATTCAAAAGCCCTGAGCAAGGCGGGCCTTCTACAGATGTGTAAAGAGCACCGTGCTTGGGGAGGATTGGGAAGCCACGGCCTGGGAACAAGTGAGAGAACTGAGGTGTTTAGGGCAGAAAAGGGAAGCCTTGTGAGTAGCAGGCAGCTTCCCTCACATAAAGCGTTCAAATGTGGTAGAAGGATAAGACTTTTTATTACATAATGCCGGAAGTTGGAACCAAAGACCAGACCAGCTGGAAGTTGCTAGAGGCTGTTTGCAAAGGTGTGTTGAATAATGCCCAAAGCATCAACTCTAAAGATAAGGGACCCGATATTAGTGTGCTAAGGCCGCCATAATAAAATATCATAAACTGGAGGCCTTACACAACAGAAATGTATTTTCTCACAGTTCTGGAAGCTGGAAGTCTGAGATGAAGGTGTTGGCAGGGTTGGTTTCTTCTGAGGCCTCTTTCCTTGGCTTGTGGGTTACCATTTTCTCCGTATGCCTTCACATGGTCCTTTGTTGGACCATCTGTGTCCTAATCTCCTCCTCTTCTTCTTCTTCTTTTTTTTTTTTTGAGACAGAGCCTGGCTTTGTCACCCAGGCTGGAGTGTGGTGGTGCCATCTCCGCTCACTGCAACCTCCGCCTGCTGGTTGCAAGCAATTCTGCCTCAGCCTCCCAAGTAGCTGGGACTACAGGTGCACGCCATCATGCCTGGCTATTTTTTTTTTTTTTTTTTTTTTTAGTAGAAATGGGGTTTCACCATGCTGGCCAGGCTTGTCTCAAACTCCTGACCTAATGACCCACCTGCCTCAACCTCCCAAAGTGCTGGGATTACAGGCATCAGCCACTGCGCCTGACCCTAATCTCCTCTTCTTATAAGGACACCAGTCATATGGGATTAGAGCCCACTCACATGACCTCATTTTTACGTAGTTACTTCTTTAAAGGCCTTATCTCCAAAAACAGTCACATTCTGAAGTACTGGGGGTTATGGCTTCAACATCTTAATTTTAAAGAGGGAACACAATTTAGCTCATAACAACCTTTTCCTCACAATTTAAATTTATTGAAGAAGCTGAGTTGTTTGTTCTGCTCTGAGTTATTCATTCTGTCTGGATTTCTCAGATTGCGCCTCTGTGGTTCACTGTTTTTCTGGTAAATGGTACTTAGATCCTTGATTGAATTTAAGTTTGATTTTCAGGCAAGAATACGACATCAGGTGGTGGTGTATACTTCCATCCAGAGGCAAATGATATCTTGTTTCTCTGTAATGTACAAAACAATTTTCAACCAGAAATGAAGATTCTGAAGTACCTGGTGAGGATTCTGACATACTTAGAATATTTGGATGACTGCTGCTTGAATGGATGGCCTTGAGACACCTGAAGACCCTGATGTGCCTTCTGAATCAAACCATGACTCAATTACATCCATCATTTAATAACAACAATTTTAGAAGGTACTTATTTTGTAGATGTCATTACATTCGTGTATGAAACTGGAGTCTGGAACAGAACCCCCCGACTAACCTGTCATGCAGAAGGGCAAACATAAACAGGCTTCAGGGTGGGAAGGAAATATTCCGAGAGCTGGCTTTGGATCCTGATCCTGACCTTCCACATACTAGAATGTGATCCTAGCCAAGCGACCTAAAACTTTGAGTCCACATTCCTTATTGGTGAAATGTGTATTGCATTTCCATCTTCAAAATTTGCTTCAGGTGTCACCTCCCCCAGGTAACCTCCTCCTGCCCTTCTTGCCTGACAGCTCATCCCTAGGATATCCCTCTCACTGAATGCTCACCTCCAGCATGCAGGATGTGAGCTATTTTTGCTATTTACCCATGTGTCTCCTCCTCAAACTAGGAGTTCCTTCAGGTTCAGGGCTGTGTCCTCAAAACGGTTTTCAAGATAGTTGCTTGTTCATGGTAGCTGCTCAACCAATAATTCAGTGACTAAAAGGGTTGTTCCTGAGTAGTGTTCTAAATCTAAAAATCCCAGGAAGTTTTTTGTTTGTTTGTTTGTTTGTTTTGAGATGGAGTCTCACTCTGTTACCAGGCTGGAGTGGAGTGGCACGATCTTGGCTCACTGCAACCTCCACCTCTTGGGTTCAAGCGATTCTCCTGCCTCAGCCTCCTGAGTAGCTGGGATTACATGCACGTGCCACCACACCTGGCTAATTTTTTGCATTTTTAGTAGAGATGGGGTTTCACCATGTTGGCCAGGATGTCTCGATCTCCTGACCTCGTGATCTGCCTGTCTTGTCCTTCCAAAGTGCTGGGATTACAGGCGTGAACCACTGCGCCCAGCCAGCTTTTCAGCAATTACTGATATACCCCAGGGCTCAACGCTAGAGCTCTCCAGGTGGTTCTAATATATAGCCAGAGTTGAGAACCACTGTTGTAGGGCAGTGGTTCTTAAAGTGTGGTCCTTAGACCAGTGCATTGGCATCTACCTGGAAATTTGTTAGAAGTGCAATTCTTGAGTCTCACTCCAGACCTATCCAACAGAATTCTGGGTCTAGGGCTCAGCTACATCGATTTAATAAGTCCTCCAGGTGATTCTGATGCAGGCTAATGTTTGAGAAAACTTGTCCTAGAGCAGGAACCAGCAATTATTTTTCTGTAAAGTGCCAGATAGTAAATATTTATGCTTCGTAAATCATACTGTCTTTGTGGCAACTACTCAAGTCTGCTGTTACAGCAGGAAAGCCGCCATAGATGACATGTAAATACATGGACTTTTTTTGTTCCAATAAAAATTTTTTTACAAAAACAGAACCTAGGCCCAGACCTTGGTTTGCTAATCACTGTTCTGGGAGATGGAGTTGGTCAGTCGTTGTTATATAACAAGTCACCACGTAAGTGACTTCCTATCCACTAATTTGCACCATGTATTCTTACTGAAACATCTGTGGTCAGCTGATGTAGACTAGGTTTGCCTGAGGGGAAGAAGTGGGGAAATACACCCCACCTTTAGGGACAACTATAAGTCACATGGCAAAGAATGTAAAAAAGGGAAAAATGAAAGATGAAGAACTGAAATCAATAATCCATTCTATACCAGGGAGTAAGTGAAATAACACACTAAAAGTGCGCAGAAGTATGCATATGATCCATGCCTTGTGAATGCTGGCTATTGTTATTATTATTATTATTAATTATCATTCTTTATTTCGTATAATCCAAGGCTAAAAATTGGATTCAATTGTCCATTCTTTTGGGAAGGCTGTTTCAGACATCCTCAGTGATTAGTGTCACTTATCATTAGCACTTGTGACAACAGGTGTACAGAGTTGTCCGTGCTAGCAGCCTGCTGGTTGACAGAACAGTTTGTTCTCAGTGCTGTGGGCTGCTTATTCAGAGGAGGCCCCAGGACAGGCTTGTCATGTCATGATCAGTTGCTGCTGAAAAACAGGCAAATCATTTCTGATAGCTGATGTTCAGTAGGGATGTACCACTTAGATCCTGGTTTGAAAGAAGAAATGACTTGTTTGGAGCTCAAGTAACTGGATATTCTTAATTAAGGAGAATATGTTTTTGGTATGTCTTAGGGAAAAGAGGCACATGAAGATGATGCAGATTGGCCTTAGAGATTTATTAGTAATGATTAACTTGGCAATGTAGGTCCTGGGCTCAGCACAACGTCCATCAGCTTGGCTCCTTCACTGTGGTTCCCATGTGCTCTGTGTAGACCGCTTGCATCTGAATCACCTGGGGGATTAGCAACACATACTCATTTCTGGGGTCTAACTCTAGAGTTTCTGATTTGGGAGTGCGAGGTGAGATGCTGGTTGTAAAATCTTTCTGTGCTGGGTGCAGTGGCTCACGCTTGTAGTCCCAGCACTTTGGGAGGCCGAAGAGGACAGATCATGAGGTCAGGAGTTCAAGACCAGGCTGGCCAACAAAGTGAAACCCTGTCTCTACTAAAAATACAAAAATTAGTTGGACATGGTGGTGGGCACCTACAATCCAAGCTACTTGGGAGGCTGAGGCAGGAGAATCGCTTGAACTCAGGAGGCAGAGGTTGCAGTGAGCCGAGGTTGCACCACTGCACTCCAGTCTGGGTGACAGAGCTAGACTCCATCTCAAAATAAAATAAAATAAAATAAAAATAAATAAAAGCTTTTGGTACTTGTGATGAACCATCCTCAAAGATGTCACTGATCTCCCCATTTGTACACTTACATATATTTACACAATTTGACAGAAACTGAAGTTCAAACTCACAGCTGATCAGAACTGGAGAGCTCTGACTTCCGAACTCTCAAAGTGTGAGAACCATGTCTTATTCATCCTTGTATCCCTGGCAGGGTGTCCTGAAGGAGTACCATATTGAATCCAGTGTTTATGGGGCCTTCGTTTCATGGGATTGGAGTTCGAACCCAGAATGGCGAAGTGACTCACCCACAGGTATGCCCCTGATGCAACTTAGGATTCTCTGAGTCCTCTACTGTCTCCTGCCCCTTGGAGTCTGGCCCTTCCAAGCTTCTCCTTGGGAATGAAACTCCTGTGTATAAAACCCTCTGACATGTTAGACGTTGTGGTAGGCGATTTAAACCTGCGATTTCATTTTATTCTTCAAAAAATAAAATCTGTCAAATTGACATTATAAACTCCACTTTATGAAAGAGAAAATGTGCTGAAAGTCACATGGCCGATGAGTGGTGGAGGTTGAATCAGAATTGAGGTTTGCTTGATGTGTGCAGTGATTGAAATGGAGCATGAGGGGGTGGTCCTGGGGGCCTGATAATGTCCTGATTCTTGATCTGGATGTGGGCAGCTCAGGAGAGAGCTTCAGTGTGTAAAAATTCATCACCATATACTTGGGCTTCCCACACTCGTCTGTGGGTATCGCTCTTCAGTGATGAGGTAGATAAACAAATCCAGGTGTGTCTGGTTTGCAAACTCATGCTCTCCATTATTTCCTCCTACTTTTTAAAAATAAGAGCTTGGTTCCTTCCTAACCAAGTTTTGGGACAGCTCCATGTGAAGTTATACGGTGTGTAAAAGAACAGTCTGAGCTAGAACCCAGGTCTCTTTCTTCCTCAACCAATGTCAACTGATACTCTTTTTTCCCCACTAGTCGCCTCTGGGGAAGCTCCAGCAGATGCCTCAATGTGCCTGTTTCTGGGATAGTACAGGAGCCCATTTTGCACAAGACTAAGAAGTTTTCATTATAGGCCAGGAGCAGTGGTTCACATCTGTAATCCCAGCATTTTGGGAGGCTGAGACAGGTGGATCACTTGAGGTCTGGAGGTCAAGACCAGCCTGGCCAACATGGCGAAACCCCGTCTCTAGTAAAAATCCAAAAAATTACCTGGGGATGGTGGCATGCATGTGTAATCCCAGCTACTGGGAGGCTGAGGCAGGAGAATCACTTGAACCCAGGAGGCAGAGGTTGTAGTGAGCCAAGATCATGTCACTGCACTCTAGTCTGCATGACAGTGCGAGATCGTGTCTTGAAAAAAAAAAAAAGATGCTTTTATTACAATTGACACCTATATCTCTATGTCCTTTAATCCCAGGGTTTTCTTAAAACAAACACTTCATTTAAGTGTGTATATTATATACTTATATTTAAAGTATATAGTTTGGTAAGTTCTGACATATATCTACACGCATGAAATTAAGGTAACGAACATGCCAATCACCCCCAGAATTTTATTGTGACCCTTTATAATCCCTTCTTTCAGGCTGTCCCTGTTAACCCTCCTGTCCCCCCCCCCATCCCCAAGGCACCAACGATCTGCTTTCTATCATTGTGATATTAGTGATATTAATTGTCACTTCCTAGAATTTTGTATACAAAGAATTAACCATCATATACTCTTTAGCATGTGGCTTCTTTCATTCTGCATAATTATTTTGCAATGCATCCATGTTGTAGCATATACCAATCATTCATTCCTTTTTGTTACTACGTGGTATTCCATTATATGTATGTACCATGATTTGTAGATCCATTTGTTTGTTGATGGACATATGGATTGTTCCCAGTTCTTGGTTATTTCAAACAAAGTTGCTATGAGCCTTCTTGTACACATTTTTGTTGGACATATGCTTTCTTTTGTGAAAACACCCAAAAGTAGAGTGGCTGGATCATGTGGTAGGTGGATGTGTAACTATTTAAGAAGCTGCCAAGCTGTTTTCCAAAGTGGTTGTACCATTTTACATTTCCACTCACAGTGTAGGAGAGTTGTAGTTCCTCCACACCCTTGCCAATGCTGAATATGGTCGGTCAGTCTTTCCCACATTAGCTCTTCTAATAGGTATGTAGTGCAGACTTCTGCAGTTCTTTGTGCAGCTCTTTTCTGTTTGGTTCTGGGTTCTGTGAGCTCCAATTACATTGTTCTACTTGGACTCACCTTCATCTCCCCAACTCAGCCTGCCTGCTGGGCTCTGCCTAGATCCCCCTCCCTGTGTTGAGACCTGGAAAACTTCTCAAAGTGGTCATCTGGCGCAATCATAGGACCCACCTGAGCTAGAACCCCAGCCTTTGCCTCTCCAGTCAATATTCTTTGTATTTCCATACCATGCCTCAGGTATGTGTTATTGTCCTTTGTTGCCTGATGTCAAGTGTTTTCCAAACTATTGTTCATATTTGGTCCTTTTTTTTTTCTCTTTTTGTTAAGTGAGAAGGCAGATCTCATCCCTGTTACTCCAACTTGGCCAGAAGTAGAAGTTTCCTTTACTTCCAGGGTTTTCAAATCTCTCAGGCTCTCAGTGGATATGACTCCATGGGTATCCATGACTCACAAAGTTTTAGAGCCCTTTGTATGTAATGAGAGTTCAAAGCTTATACTATAATTATACTCTTAGGATGAAATGTAAGCATCCACCTGTGGGTATGGTAATTCTTGCCCAATCTGGTTTATGAAAACGAACAAATAAACAAACAAACAATAACAACAACCACAACAACAACAAAAAACAAGAAGCGGCTCATGAATTTAACAGAGACAGCTAACACTGATGATTAAGTAAAGCTGTACTGGGTACCACTTTTTCCCCAGACGTTGTATTAGACTATGAAGATCTAAACATGAATAATGACTATATTCAGTGAGCTCATAGTCCATTGGCTACAAAAATTCATGGACAAGTAATTACAATCTAGTTTTAGAAGTATAAGGATTTGAGTAGGTGTTAGGCTGGTTCTGTGTCTGTGGACTAAGAGCTGAGCAATCTGCTCGTGGTGGTCAGTCAGAGACCCTAACTAATGGTGCTGATGATACCTACCTCCCAAAGGCGGCTCCAGAGACCACCCTGATAACTATTCCAGTGACCTGGAAGGAATACAACATGAAGGAGGTCACCCAAGGGAGGTTTATAAGGACCAGGCCAGGAGGTGGTGCTTATCTTACCTGCTCCATTCCCACTGGCTAGAGCCCAGCCACGTGACCACACCTAACTACAAGGAAGACTGGGAAATGTAGTCAATCTCTTGCCTGGGAAGAAGAGGAAACAGATTTCAGTAACCTGTTCACAGAGTCTGTCAGATTATGGATTTCTCTAATATCAGTTTGAAAAATTTACTTTTTTCTAAGCTATTGGTTGCAGTGACTCTTACTCGCATTTGATGGGGGGGGAAACCATCACTGTCATGTGCATTTGACATTGCCATGTGGCATTTCTGAACTCAGAGGTGTGAGGAAAGGAGCAAGTGGAGTATAACCCTGTGTCCAGACGAGCAGTGGAAGTAGGAATGTGAGGCACACCTGTTTCCCACCTTTCATGTGGAATTAGCAGCTTGCCACAGAGGAAGAGTGAGGCCCTTTAGTGACATGGCATCGAAGCCGCATCAGGGCAAAGTAACAAAACCAGAGTCCAGAGAGACAGCAGTCCCCAAATCAGCCATGCGCTTCAGTATATGACAAAGGCAAAGCAGCTATGTGGTTATCCCAAACTCTGACTTTAGGTCACTTTTGGGTCTTGTCCATCTAACATGTCAAACTAACATGTTATAGATGAACTTTGGAGTAAGGTAGACCCGGGTTTGAATTCCAGCTCCCCAATTGCTAAACTTAGGAGGTTACTTGACCCCTCTCTGTATCTTGGTATTATTATTTTTATGAGACGGAGTCTCACTCTGTCACCCAGGCTGGAATGCAGTGGCACGATCTCCGCTCACTGCAACGTCTGTCTCCTGGGGTTCAAGCGATTCTCCCTGTCTCAGCCTCTGGAGTAGCTGGGTTTACAAGCACTTACCACCAAGCCCAGCTAATTTTTGTATTTTTTAGTAGAGATGGGGTTTCGCCATGTTGGTCAGGCTGGTCTTGAACTCCTGACCTCAGGTGATCTGTCCCCCTTGGCCTCCCAAAGTGTGGGGATTACAGGCGTGAGCCACCGCACCTGGCCTGTATCTTGGTATTCTTATTTGTAAAATGGAGCTAACAAAATGCCTACTCATCACACTGTTGCATGAATGAAATATGTTTATACTTAGAAGATACCTGGTATAGTGCTGGGCACATGCTAAGCATTCACTTCATGACAGCAATTACTGTCAGTAAATTGGGAATTATAATTCCTGTCTTATAGAGGTGTTGTGAGGATCAGTGGGAGAATGCCACAGAGCCTTATCAGAGAGCAGGCATTCAATAAGTAGTTGTAATTATTATGGCAGTATTACCAGCCACATACACCAGCAAGGCCTAAGATGCCCCGGGGGACACTCAGAAAGTAGGACCCAGAGATGGTGTTCACATATGGTATGTTGGTGGCTGATTCATGGTAAGGAGAAGAGAAAACAGTTATTAATACCAAAAGGAAGAAATGAATTAAAGTGTCTTTCAATGGTGACTACTACACAGCTGAGGTCCCAGGAGGCCTAGAATGGTCCTAGCCATTTCCTCAATCAAAGTTACTCAGCTTACTATATTTTCAGATTGCCTTCTCAAAGACCAGTGCAGTGGATTTTCTTCTTCATCTTCCCATCAGCTTCCTCCAACTTGTGTTATTCTTCTGGGCCTAGCATCCTGTTACCAGCACTATTGTCACTGAAAGCAGCTCCCTGCATTGTTTGGCTCTTTATCCTCATAAAAACCCTATGCTTGTCGCTCCATATCCAGCTCAAATGCTACTGCCTTTTTGATGTCCTTCTTGGCACTCCTGCTGATAACAGTCCATTGCCATATCCCATGGTGATTTAGACATAGCCTTGTTGTGATACTTACCACCTTATATTAAAGTCATTTGTTTAGGTGCCTGTCTCCCCAATAAGCTAGTGGCCCTGCCACTTTAACTGCAGAGTTCCTAGCCCTAGCTTGATGTATTCATGCATTAGGTGCTCACTCACTGTGTATTAAAGACATTTGTGGAATGTTCCCATTGTACCTGGAGCAAGAAGAGAGTGAACCAGAGTGGTCAACACACCATGCGCAGGCAATATCAGGTCCTCCTACCCTTAC